GCAGCCTGAGTCCACACTGCTGAGGGAGCATGGCCATGAGAGATGTCTGACTCCACCCTGAGTGTCCTGCACCACTCGAACACAGAGACGATTCCAAGGGGGTGGGTGCTGGTCACACAGAGGAAAAGATCTTTCCTGACTGCAATGCCTCTCCCTTACAATTACAAGATGCCATGTGCTCTCGGCATCACTGGCAACATTTCTTACGCATAAATGAAATCTAATTTTTTTTTTTTTTTAATGACTAGAAACAAAAATACCAGTGAAAACGAAGTGCCACTGAATGCTTTGCTTTCCAACTCACCACCAGGACAGAGTAGGCTGATTGCAGCCGTAGAACACTGCCCAGCAGCAGGGCTGCAGCCAGTTCGCAGGAGAGCCCAACAAGCTGCTGTGACCACATCATTTTCTAGTGCCATTGCTAAACCCCCGTCAGAAATTTCACAGTTGAGAACTAGTTCCCTCACCAATCTGAAGAGCACCTGAAAAGCTCCCCCCAATTGCAAAGCTGAAGGCAAGCAGAGGTTCACAGTGAGGGCTTATCTATGTATATAAGTAGACTTCAGAAGGTTTGGAAACACGCGGAGATAAGGATGGCATCATAGGCCATTAATCTCACAGCACCGTGTCCTATAGAAAAATCTTTTGATGTGTCCATCCAAGACAAAAATGTGGCTCCAAGGAGGATGTCAGCATTCACAGGAATCCAAGCTCCCTAGCAAGGCAGTATGGTGTCCCCGGGGTTGGTCTCAATTCCTTTTCAAGCCTCTTTCCCGCTTCTTCTGGTCCATGTACGTTTCAGTGGCAAGGATCCCTAGGCATGTCCACACCGAATTTCCTGTCAAAGCATGCGCTGCTGCCTTCCTTCCTGGTAAACTCTGACTTACCTAATAAAGCCCAATTTTAAAGACTTCAGGAATTTTTTCCCCTGGGCTGAAATCTCACCAGTAGATTGTCATTCCTCTCAGGAAAAATACCCAAGTCATCTCCACAGCCCAACGACTGAGCAATCAGGTCCCGGCCTACATTTCAAGCCCGTCTGACACCACTCGCCTTCTGACTGATTGTTCTGCAGCTTTCCTGGTCTTTCTGACTCCTGCTGGCTCTGGGAGGGCAGGGCAGGGTCTATGTCTGAGTACCTTGGGAAAACTGAAGTTGGAGCGTGCCAGGTCTTGCAGACTGCCTGCATGGCAGGTGTAGGTAAAAGGAACAGATACATGGTAGAGAAGGAAACAGCAGATGTTTAAAAATCTACACACTTATTCAAACGAAGCGCGGAAAGCACACTTGACATGTCCCAGGAAAATCCAACTAGCACTCACCCTGGGAGGTCGAGCTTATTCTTATTTCATAGGAAAACACTTCAGGAAGCTAAGCACCCCGCCAGGTTTGCACTGCTAGTAAGTGGTAGGGCTCGACCTGAAATTTGTCTGACTCCCAAACCTTAACTGTTTGTCTCTGTCTTTTGGAGGGTCACTTAAGGGTGTGTATAGTCAGACACTGGCAAGGGGAATGCAGAGTTCCTGTGGGTTTTTTATTTACAGGGTTGTCAGATGTCTCAGAAGACGAAGGGTTTGTAGCATTTGCACCAGTACACATACATTCCTGCCTTTTCTCAAGCACATACTGAACTTATCAATATGATCATGTGACAATAGGGGGGGCAGTGAACCACAGACATTGGAGGCTTAGGCGCTGGGAAGATTCGACCGGCTGCCTTTGGGTGAGCTACTTGACCTCTCAGAACCTGTTTCCTTACCTACAATGTGGGATAGTATCACTTCCTTACAGACTATAAATACCCCCTTGCATATGGAGAATGTCCTTTCAAGACTAGCTCTGAAATTTTTGATAGGAAAGGACTTAAGGCACTTCAACTCACATTTAATTGGCCAAAGCAAGTCACATGATCACATCTAACCACAAGAAAGAGCAGCCCTGGCACATCTGGAAAGAGGACCAAAAACACTTGGTGAATATCTAGTAGGCATTCTTTAAAAATAAATGTATGCTTTTGTTTCATGTTTGAAATCATTCTTGTGGAACAGCTGTGAATGAATTATAATCAGGTATAATATGAGAGTCATTATTTATGCAGTGATAATACATTCTTCAGATGTGACCGAGGAGGACACTTGGAAGAAAATAACTCCCAGAGAATGGGGTCACTAACCACAGAAAATATTCCCCACTCTAGGTTAGGGGGCCTTACAACATCTGCCTAAAGGGATTTCAGAACTGCTATGGACCAAAGACACTGATATTTTTCTAATTCTTTCTCAGTGGAAGTATTTTTTGGTCATTCTGCCTAGTTCCACTGGTGTATGTGTGTGTGTGTGTGTGTGTGTGTGTGTGTGTGTGTGTTGTAGGGGAGGGCATGATGGTTGTGGTGATGACAAGTAGATTGTATATTAGCATCTGGGTCTCCAGATCAAGTAGAGCCAAATCTTAGTCTGCTATAGAGTCTCCTATGCATCTCACTTGGATGAAGGGATCACCAGGAACCACTCTGGGATATTAGATATTAAGCTTTAATCTAGAATAGGCAATTTTGGAGTTGTCTCACTTAGGTAATGGTGGTCATATTTTTCCTCATGAGACAATGAGTCAAATATCTGTTGACCAAGTGGATAGACCATGGTGTTTATCAGTATTGTACATAAAATATTTTCAGTTTTTCTTCTAGATACAACTTTAGATTTCATCTCCCTTCCTTGTTATAGTTGTAGCAAAACTGGTCTTTGGCCAATAATATATTAATAAAAATGGTTGGTATCACTTGCCGGTGGAGCCTCTAAGAGCTTGTGCACAATTTGCTCTGCTTTCTTTTTCTTCTTTCTAGAAACCCAGCAAAGTGACTGCTCTGTCTGCTTAGGTCCCAGACTAAGGATAACAGGAAGAGCCCCCATTGATTTACAGGGAATATGGGATAATTATTTTAAAATAATTATTTTAAACAATTGGTGCATGTTCGTGACAGCAACACAACTTAGCCTATTCTAACCAATTCAAAAAAGATTAGCTCAATTCTTCATGAAGTTATCGTTATTATTTGTGTGTGTGTGGGTGTGTGTGACTGTCTCTCCATCCTGGGTCATAGGCATGTAACTGGATGATAATGGTCACAGTGGGTCTTGCCGAGATGGAGGCAGCTTTTCATGGCAGGCTTTGGTTCTGCAGATCATAATGTGGTCCCTCAGGGCCTCTCAGAAAGAATCCTGGTAAGTTCATGGTTGGGACATAACTCGAGGCCTCTTTCCTATGGACATTCTCCAGGCTCTGTTTCATTATATCCTCAATCTGACTGTGGTGTCTGGCGAGGGAACTGAGTTGCACCAGAGACAATCATGCTAGCATATTCAGCAGTTAATGATTCCCGTGCAGTCTCTGAGTTAGTGCCTGGCTTTATTAATTAGATTGGTGGATCTTGCCAGGTGACATAGTCTTCCTTTCTTGATATCCTGGGGAAGCCCACAATACTGAAAAAATTCTTGTCACCAAGTGCTATTGACATGTTCAATGAATATTTTCCTATCATATGGCATGTGTCAGATATCAAGTAGTTGGTCTCAGTGCAAAAACATCTCTCATCTTGCCTCATTTTACATTCAGCGTTGTGTCCTTCCTGGGTTTCACGTCCCTGATCTCTCAGGCTACACTCTATGCACTTGGTTCTGTCTCCTGCTGTGTGGAGCTGCCCAAACTCACTTTTGTCCAGAGTGGCTTGTGTCTCCCCTAATTCACTCTTAGGTCAGCTGGTCCTAAGAAGGTCTGTTCTTTTCTTTTCTTTTTCTGTTTTGGAGAGAATTTTGCCATAGGGCGCATGTGCTCACCAGAGAGGCAGAGAGAGATGGAGAGATAGAAATCAAGAATCACTCCCCAGGGGAGATGGCCACACCGCAATCCTTTCTCCTCCATTCTCTTCTTGGGATCCTGGGCATGCATGTACATTCATCTGGCGGGAGTTTAAACCACTGGGTCCAGACTCAAACTGCGGTCAACTACATGGGAGTCCACCAACATAGCTATTACACCAACTGCTGGTCCCAAGAAGGCCTATTCTTATGGTATAGCTCATCTCTCCTTTTAGTTCCCCATGGTAATGGTCCAAGTTACAAATCCTTGTAATTTTCACAGACTTCAACAAAACAAGCTTTGGTCACATCTCAAAGTATGAGTCTTTGCTTGGGGAGCATTTTCCTTCCCCTCTGCTCTCTCATCTGTACTTTAAATAGCCTCCAGCCCTTAAGGAAGCAGATACAAAAACTCTATGAGACCTGAGTGGTCACAGAAAGGGTACATTACATGCTTGGGTAAGTAGTTATCCTGCTTCCAAAGAGGCAGTTGACCTGGGTTTGGGGATTAGGAGAGAGGCAGTAGCAGAGGAAGTGAGGAAGATGCAGAGAATTTCAAGCGGGAAGGCATCCAAGTGTCTCTGTCCTTAGAAACCAGGGAAGGACCTCTGTCCTTAGAGATCACAGCTCAAAAATAGCTGACCTTGAGAGTGGCCACCCATAGCCTCATGACCTATGTGTAATCTGTTTTGCATTGCCCTGGGGATTTGTGAGTTCCCTGAACAAAAGGTTGTAGGCTTGGGCAGTTACTGTACATGGAAAGGGCGATCCTTGATTCTTGACCAACCTACATGCGTCAGAGCCAACTGGCAATTCCAATAATGCATTCAGCTTTTTCTCTATACAACCACAGTTTGGAATCAGGTAAGACTCTAGGACAGTGAAAGGCATTAGCAACTTAGAGGCAATCATGAAACTGCTCATGTTGATCAAAAATCCACAATCTGGTCCCAAGGAAAGTGGTTTATTTGTACATAGGTTTAACATCTAGGGTAATACTTATTTTATAAGTCTTGCTTTATTAGTAAGAGATTAGTAATTTTTTTCTAGCTAATTCTAATACCAGTTGCTTTTTATTTTTCTCAATCAGTATCTTTCATGGACTGTACACAAGTTAGTTAAGGAGGAGGCCTCCACTTTGGTTACCTTGCCAGCAAGCGCCAACTGTCAGTTGCATAGCTATGTGAGATGGGTGAATGGGCCAATCGTTGGTGACCAGGTATGGTTCATATGTTGCTCCATCCATGTATAAAGTAACCACAGGAAACTCCACATTGATGACATAGTAATGCCACTCTTTGTCACAAATCTAATGAAAAGAAAGAGAAGTAACACTTAAAACCAAATATGTAATGTGACATCAAACAAGCTTTTACTCTAATTATGAAAGGGGGAGAAGATGTTTTTTAGGTCAACAGTTCTTTTATTTTTTTTTTACAGAATTATTTATTTTAATTTTTCATTTATTGGTTTTTTTAAAAAAATTGACCAGAGAGAGCCACAGACACAGGGAGAGGGAAGGTGAGAAAGAAAGCAACCAAGGGACCAGCAATTAGCGTAATGGCTATGTAACTGGACTCTCATGTAGTCGACCAAAGTTCGAGTCCTGGACCCGGTGACTTAAAACTCACGCCGGGCGCGTGTGCGTGTGTGCCTAAGATCCCGAGAGGAGAATGGAGGAGAAGGGATTGTGGCGTGGCCATCCCCCCTGGGGGGTGATTTCTCGCTTTCTGTCTCTCTGTCTCTCTCTGTCTGTCTGGCGAGCACACGCGCCCTATAGCAAAAACCTCTCAAAAAAAAAAAAAGTAAGAAAAGAAAGAAAGCAATCAAGTCCAGGACTTGAATCATGGTCAGCCATGTAGGAGTGTCCAGTACCTTGAACACCTGCTGGCCCCGGTCAACAATTTTTATTGCAAATAAAATGAACGTAATGGTTGACATATGCTGAGGTTAGAGAAGCTCATATTAAACATGACAGGAAGAGAAGCACTCGAGAATCCAATCATCAGGCAGACATTTGACTGAGAACAGATTATCTTGGTCACATAAGTACCAGGCATCTAGGCTGGCAAGGGTTTGGTGCACAGGAGGGGGTATTGGCTTCAACAGCTCTGTGTGAAATTTCTCTTAGTTCTTTAACAGAGAGAAAAATAATTTCAGTTGAACTTTTTTACATTTGGAATAGATGGGACCATACAAAGAAAGGCACAAGAGTGTTTGGGGAAGAAAAGATGAAGATAAAGGAGAGAATGGGACCAGCAGTTAGCGTAATGGCTATGTCGCTTGACTCCCATGTAGTTGACTGTGGTTCGCGTCCCGGACCTGGTGGCTTTAGACTCATGTCGGGCGTGTGTGCGTGCATGCCCAAGATCCCGAGAGGAGAATGGAGGAGAAGGGATCGTGGTGTGGCCATCCCCCCTAGGGGGGTGATTTCTCTCTTTCTATCTCTCTGTCTCTCTCTGTCTGTCTGGTGAGTGCAAGCGCCCTATAGCAAAAATCTCTCCAAAAAAAAAAAAAAAAAGATAAAGGAGAGAAGGAGGAAGAGAAAGAGAAGAAAATGAAAGAGGAGAGAGTTAAGAGTTAGAAAGGAGTAAGAGAGAAAACATGTGCATAGAAAGAAGGAGAACGAAATGCAAACAGAAACCCTCAATTCCTTTGTCTCTATTTTATTATTTTTTTTTAAGAGAGATTTTTGGTATAGAACCCGTGTGCTTACTGGAGAGACAAAGAGAAACAGAGAGACAGAAAGTGAGAAATCACCCACCAGAAGGATGGCCACACCACAATCCCTTCTTCATTCTTCTCCAAGGATCTTGGGCATGCACGCACATGTCTGGCGTAAGTTTTAAGCTGCTGGGTCCGGGACTTGAACCGCAGTTGACTATGTGGGAGTCCAGTGATGTAACCATTACATCATCTATCTGCTGGCCTCCCTTTGTCTCTATTTTAAGGCTTGTCAAAGGAACCAGTATAAACGTAATGCCCATTTAACTCAAGCAAAATAGAAGATCGCCTGCCCAACAGGATTCAATCCAACCTACCCTAGTGCACCTGGGAGGCAGAGAAGGCCCATGAATGGGTCCTCCCGGCCCAGACTCAGTGCAGAGCTCTCTCATCCATCCTCTCACAACCTTCAGCACCTATAGCTCCTGGTCTCAGGGCTGGGAACCACAGAATAACCTTAATGGACTAGAATTGGTGGAGTCACAATTCCTGTAGGAACTGAATTGACATGGAAGGACTGAATTTGTACAGCAGGATCCAAAATAGAAGATGAGACTGGTGTGTCTTGGGCATGGAGACAGGAAGCCCATCAGGTGGCAAGACTGAAGAATGGTGCCACCTTACCCCACCCCTGAAGCTGGTGCCCTGGGTCACATCGGACTCTCCTTAACACTCCCTCTCCCTCTAATCCCTCTGCACCCTGTGGAGTCCACCTTTGAAACATTTCTCATCTGCATCCACTTGTCTCCACTGCCCCTGCCATCTGTGGCAGGGGAGACAGATGAGTTCTGCATGAAGGTGACCCCAAGGTGGGGGCATCAAAGCCCTCCCTACATCCCAGTCTGAATTAAATGTGCTGTTTCTCATGAATAGATAACACCAACAGAGATGCTAAATGATCTTTTCCCTTTCATTTTGGAATAAGAATTTTTTCCTTAATGTTCTTTTTATATTGTCCTGTCTCATGTCTCAGAAAATTGCTCCTTTTGAAGCCCATTAGCCTGATAAGGCCTGATGAATATTTTAAGTGACTTTGGAAGGTAAGCAGGAGGGGTGCAGGCAGATCGCTCCCAAGTCCTGTGGTACTCAGTGAAAAGCCCTGGCCCAGTTCCCACTCCTCTCCTATGTGATACTCTGAAGCATACCTGGGCTGGGCCCAGGGTCCTTGGGCCAGCCAATGACTAGGATGGGTTGACCCTGGGATGAAGGGGTGGCACAAAGGAAGACCTGGAGACTGAATCTAGGGCTGATTGAAGAGTGGGGAACAAGAGAAATTGAAAAGCGTGCCCAGCCTAAAGATGCCTAATGCCCCCTGGACTTTGGGTTTGCAAGCAAAGAGAGCCAAGCAGCAGAGGAAACCAGGAGTATGGTTCACTCCTGGGGATGTTCCCAGAGGCATCTGGAATCTTGCCAGGCCCATACTGGGAGGGAGGGGGGTGACAGTGAGGTTCTCCTGACCACATCCCATGTCTGGCAGATCATAGGCAGAGCACAGAGAGCAACCAGGAAGCATGTGGGGGCTCCCAGCCTTGGCTCCCACCCCCACCCACACAGAAGCTGTCCTCTGCATGTGACTGGCATGTTGAATCCATGTTTCTCAGCTAACTCCACAGCACTCAACATCTGCTGAAGCTGAAAAGAGAATAATTCTCTGGCTTTATGTCTTTCTCAATACTTAACATTTTGGGGGACCAGCAGTTGGCCTAATGGCTATGTTGCTGAACTCCCATGTAGTCGACTGCGGTTTGAGTCCTGGACCGGGAGGCTTAAACTTAGGCCAGGCATGTGTGCGTGCATGCCCAATATCCCAAGAGTACAATGGAGGAGAAGGGATTGCGGCATGACCATACCCCCAGGGGGTGATTTCTCGCGTTCTGTCTCTCTGGCGAGTGCATGCACCCTATAGCAAAAAACAAAAACAAACAAACAACATTTTTGTAGGACAGTATAAACAAAATTCCGTGAAGTAAAATAATTCCATAACTCAACAGAAGCATCAACCACTCTCAATATCACAATTTTTTCAAGTCGCTTTTTCTCCGCTCCTCTGATGTATGCTCCAATGGACAGCAGCTGCCGGGTGCCCACATAGACACAGTGCCCCTGCTCACTGAGTCTCCTTTTTAGAGGGATTTCTCAGACTTATTACAGTGTCCAAGGCTTCCAGCAGCCCAGAGTATATGCCTGTAATAACTTTTCAACCTTGCTGGAAAATGGAACTTTTCTATTTATAGCCTTCCTATAAACATCCAGTGAAACAAGACTTGGGAGAGGTCTATTTGGATCGCACTGTATCTCTAACAGTCTCAAGGTTTGCATGTTTTCCCTAATGTCAGCCTTAAAATGCCTCCACACACGTGCTCGGAAATGGCTGAATAATAAGGATATGCTATCCTTAACCACTGACTATCGTCAGGCATTAGGTACCAGCTATTGTAAGTGGTGCATCAACGTTTGTTTGCATTTCTGATTATATCCCTAGGAAGGAGTCCTGGAAGTGGAATCACTGGATCAATGTTTAAGGTTTTTGATACATTTTGTCAATTTTCATTTCTGCAAAAGGTTGTGTCTGTTTATATTGCTACCCACAGAGAGAGAGTGCTCATGCATTGCACCCTTGCTACATCAAGTATATATATATATATA